AGAGAGAGAGAGAGAGAGACGTGCTGCTGCTGGCGCAGCCGGATGATAATTATTTTTATGCTAAGCCGTGCCGAAGACTAAGAGTACTTTGTGCAAACGCGTGCGTACTCGCGTGAAATGGATGGATCAATATTAACTCGCTTTGAAGGTATAAAAGTTTGAAAGTATCTTCTGGATTAGGGCTTAGTTTTAAGAGCGCACGAGCTGGTGAAATTATAGCCGGCTAACTCTGCGCGGACTACGAGCGTTTGCACTGTACTGCGAAATATGATCGCTGTATGAAAAACGCGGCGGTAAAATATATATAGACGAAATACAGCGACGATTGCGCTGAGGAATAATAGAACTCCGAAAGAGAGTATAAAAAGGTAAAATGTACTTACCCAGCGTTCGAACTGATCCCATTCCCCCCATCTCTCTGATGAGAGAGATGATCTGCGCGGATATAAAGAAACGAAATAAAACAGCGACGTAAAAAATATATATAGGTATACGCGCAGTGGTGCGTGGTATCAATAATGCGGTACACCATGTTTACGGTTCGTATTATAATTTATTACAATTTGTACAGATTACAAATCGGTACCTATGATGCGTTTCCTGTTAGACATCATAAAAGGAGCGAATATTGAGCAGAACGCCGCTCGTTACTGCGCTAACGTTATTATATCAGTTATCATATAGTTACCCCTGTATAATCTATATTTGACACTTGGTGAACACTCCGAGTCACTAATAAATATCGCGTTTACAGCACTCGACGTGTGTGTAGTGTTTCCGCGTCGGAAAATTTAAATCGTAACAAAAATCGAATCCCCCGATCGCCCTCTTCTCCGTTTCTTCGTTATTGAAAACATTTGTGTCACGATTTTAAATCCTGATCGCTTGCGAAGCTGATCCTTCGGTTTGCAATAATTTCACGTTCACCTTAAGTTACCTTAAGTAATCATTATGTCTGCCTATGTCTCGATACACAGACGCTGCTCTATTCCTGTTTCCCTTGTTTTTTCTTATTAGTGATCAACAATTTACATCAAAAGACAACATGTTCAAAAGTAACTGTATATGAATTTACGCGTAGCCCCCGCGTCGATCCGCCAGCGTTTCACCAATTCCTGACCGCTTCCGATAGGCTCCTCGAGAATAAAAATTATCGTTATTCGACTATCTATTCTATACATAGTAACATATATAACTGGAAGCCCTAGACTACTAGGTTTTACATGGACGACGTAATCGGATCAGACAGTGGCATCAGCGATATCTTCAATCTGGAGGATGCCCGCGAGCTACCTGCTAACCGGCGACTCGCACCTCGGCAGTACATTCGTTATCGGGGGCACCGTCATCGTCAGCGATGTCATCATCAGGAACAGGGTGGCCGCCATGATAGCCATTATTATCGTCGCGCCGCGATTACCATTCCAGGGCCAATACTGTCCGGCGCATCCGTTCGCTCCTGCTCAACAGAAAGTATAGTCCCATTGTTAATGAACGCCGGCGATAACTGCGCCGCGAGAGGGTAATGAAATTTTATGAAACGTGTCGACATGGATCGCGGCGAAGTACTCAGCGAGTACCACCCCTCGCGCCAGTACCACCACCTCCGCTCTCGAGTAACAGATACCATGTTCCGAAAGGATATGCGACAAGTTTAATTATACCAGGGGTGATGGCACTGCATCGGTAAAAGTCGTCGTAGACTGGCAAAGTCCCCCTTCGCTAGAACGCGGAAAATGTAAATTTGAGAACGAGCCTAAGAAAGTTTTCCCGAACTTAAGCATCTTTTGAGAAGTTTCCTTCGCAATTACGACCCGATGTACCGCCGGCGGCTAAGTAATTTGATTCGAAGTGAAACGGGCAGACAGTAATTTGAGTTGTTGATTTCGTCCGTGAGCATTAGAAATAGCGCGGCTAAATGTGAGTTAGAATGAAGACTCAACTTCGATATCCATTTTTTTATTCGAATCACTCAAGTGAATAATATTTTATTATTTATTAATATGTTTCAACACATGCGTGATATTATTTATTTTATACATATTATCTGCAATCGTAGGATATGCGGTGTAATTTGGATAATAATAAACATTTCCATTAATTTGGAAAATAGTAAGTATTTGCAAGAATTTCAGAAAAATAAGAGATTTTAAGATACATTTCATTATATCAGACATAGATATAATGAAATGTATCTTAAAATTTCTTATTTTTCTGAAATTCTTGCAAATACTATTATCCAAATTATCCCACTATTCAAATTACCCCGCTGTATCCTATATAAAAATCATCGATATTACAACAGGAAGATATTTTCTATATTATTTACAATTCAAATTTTTATATTGTAAAAACGTAATTATATATTGTCGACAGGTTTTTATGTGCTGTAATTATGTTATTAATGTTATTAAATTGGACAAGATTAATAATAAATGATTTCGCGCTACGTGAAGTCAAGTAACATCTTTTGCGGGACAAGTACGCTTTCGTCATGTTACGTCCGCGATTATCCAAGATGAGATTTTTCATAAAAATTACGATTCAGAATCTCTTGTAGTATCTCGTAATTTCACGACTGGCTGGATATCATATTATACGCTTCGTTCGCCGTTGTAAGCGTTCTTAAAACGTTAACGTATTTGAACGAAGAGTTGAAGTAAGACGAAATTGAATGTAGGAGTCGAAATTGGTTCCTGGATCCTAGCTTACGATTGCAAAATTTAGACCATGATTTCGCTCCCAGCCGAGATGGGACGTATTTAATTTCGCTAACCAATCCTCGTAATGGCATTCGTTAATATCGAAAACCGATTTATTTCGACTTTTCCGGTGGCACTGATAGCGATATTTAACCGATGCTGCAATGCGCTGAAACAACGGTGTGTTTTTTTCCCGTCCTTTCCTTAAGATCTAAGCGAGTGTCCTCGGGAAAAGGTTGCCGTTATTAACCGCAACGGACGCGGATGGCTCTTTTAGAAAGTCTCGCGTCGGCGGATGTCGACGGCATGAAATAAAACTTCGGTAAAACGAGGCAAGGTAAAAGGAGGAACGCGGCGAAGAATCGCATTAAAGGCGACGTCGCGGCTCTGCGATTAAATTTTCAAGAAAGAAGAAGAGCGGTGGGCACACCACTGTAGAAAGGAGCCGAGCAAAGGCGGGGAGGGGAAAAAGCAAATTACCGGAAGGGCCGTGCCGGTCGCCGTCGGATAACGTTGGCAGGAAGATGCAAAGAACCTTAGCAAAAAGTGCACGATAGTAATTTCTCCGGAACGAGGAAATAATTTGAACGGTTGCGCCTGTGAAGCCTGAAACGAGCGCGAACTCCTAGTTATAGTCGTTGTAATTTCGCCCATCTTTTCGCGGATCATAATTCAGCTATACTGCTACTATACCTGCACATTTCTAACGGGATTAACAAGTTTCCGATGCTGCGTTTTAATCGGCTTTACGCATCAGTTAAAGTCGACTTTAAACAGACTTTGCTAATCAATTTACAGATAACCGAAGCGGCGAAAGAATTACTCGAATTATAATGGAAATGAGAAGGATTTTTTACAGGATTTAAGTCAGCGACTGGATTTCAAAAATAATCTTGCAATTTAAAGTTTTCACGCTTGACCTGTTGCGAATTTAATTAAATTAAAATGGATGTGTAATATAAACATTATACAACGTATAATGTTTGACATTTTTCACTATATACAGACTAACGGATTTACTACAAATTGTACAGTACATACTGGAATATACCAGTAAAAAGAAATAAATATATAAAAATTTTTAATTAAAATTACAAAATTTATTATAAATATTTTTTTGTAATTATAGAATATAAAATATGCTTTACACTTTACTGCAATGCAAAACCATCTGTTTTATTAAGATCACGTTAATTTGATGTTCACAAAATCATAATCATTAATTATGTACTATTATTTGCTATATTTTTATCACGATATTTTTTCACGTTTATTCCACAGAGTGGAATAAGATTTAAAAATTTCCTACAAAACATATATATACACAGTGCGGTCTATAAGTTCCCGGACTGATTTTTTTGCAGCCTCCCAATTGACGCCATTTATCGGACGACTGTTGAACTACATATAGTGTGAACCTTTTCGAACAGCCATATTGAGTGGCATAATTTTAGCCGCAGTGTTGAAGAGTGCGGACGTTTGATGTAGCCTGGTGTTGTGTGTGTGCTCACACGCAGAGAAAGGATTGGCCAACGCAGCTAAAATATAGCTGTGGCAGCTAATGTGTGTTTTTAAAATATAGGGACAACTAATATTGTTACTGCTAAAGCTAAATTTATTAGTTGTTAAAATTTAGGCGCTACAGCAAAAAATATTTGCTGAAAAAATCACACAATGTTTAGCTAATTCTATTGAGGAATTTCCAGCAAAACTTTAAAATTTTTCAGCAAAATCATTCTTTCCTTATGTCACTTTCTTAGCTATTCCTGTTAAAATACGCTTTTATTTTAGCTAATAAAATTGTATCTTGCAACAAATATATTTATCTT